TCCATGCATTATACATCCATCCATCCATCCATCCATCCATCCATCTATGTATATGTACATCATCTATCTCAAATGAAGGCAAATATATGTTTCCCAGAATTGCAGGATATTAGAGGTAGGCAAAATGTTATATATTCCATCACAGAATAAAGTGCTTCCACCTCACTAGGTCTCTTCCCCACCTCAAAATCTTTTTCACGGCTCTTTACAATCTGTGTTTCTACTGAAGTTGCTTTTTTTTCTTTCTTTCTTTCCTTCAGAAAAGTATCTTTGTAGTAGTTTCCATAAAATTTGTCTTTGATCTCTTAGGAGTGGGTAAACATTGTCTTTCTTTTGTTGGTCAAATAGTTGAAATTGTGGATGTACCAATCCATGGAGCCTAAAAACCGATTCGGAGAGGCTTAACATTTTTCTTTTACTGTCTCGCTTGGCATGGCGGCTCGCTTGGTTTGTTGATTTACTGTTTCCTAATTGTGCCAAGCTGCCATCCATAGGAGGAAATGCATTCTTGTGGCTTTGGTGCATAATATTTGTATAAATATCTATTTTGTATCACAGTGGCTAGACAAGAGGCATTTTTTTTCTTCTACAGGGTAGCTAAGGAGTATACAATTCAAATGTCCCTTGTTGTTAGAAAGCTGAACTGAAATTAGAAGAAGATCAATCACTGGATATTTCACAGAGATTGCACAATTTTCTCTCTTGTGCTCATACAAACACACAGAGGGACAGAAACACAGAGATGGGCAGGAGAGAAAAGAGAGAGGAAGAAAAGATAGAGAGAGGGAGGGAGGGAGGGAGACAGAGAAACCTAGAGGGAGAGATGGTGAGAGAAGAGAGAAAAGAGAGGGAGGGAGAGAGAGAGAGAAACTGAGAGACAGAGAGAGAGAGAGAGAAGAGAAAAAAGGGAAAGAGAGAAGGGAGAAAAGGGAGAGGGAGAGAGGGTGAGAGAATAGAGAAAAGATAGATGGAGGGAGGAGAGACAGAGAAACTGAGACACAAAAGAGACAGACAGAAAAGAGAAAAAAGGGAGAGAGAAAAGGGAGAGGGAGAGAGGGTGAGAGAAGAGAGAAAAGATAGATGGAGGTAGGAGAGAAAAAGAGACAGAAAGAGACACAGAGAGAGACAGAAAGAGAAAAAAGGGAGAGAGAAAAGGGAGAGGGAGATAGAGAGAAAAGATAGATGGAGGGAGGAGAGAAACTGAGAGACACAGAGAGAGAAGAGAGAAAAGAGAGAGGGAGACAGAGAAACTGAGAGACACACACACACACAGAGAGAGAGAGAGAAGAGAAAAAAGGGAGAGAGAGAGAGAAAAGGGAGAGAGGCAGAGAAGAGAGAAAAGGGAGAGAGAAAAGGGAAAAGAGAGAGGAGAGTGGGAGAGAGAGAGAGAGGAGAGAGAAGAGAAAAAAGAGAGAAGGAGGGAGAAGGAGAAAAGGGAGAGAGAGAGAGAGAGAGAGAGAGAGGGAGGGAGAGGGAGAGGAAGAGAATGTTATAGTAGAGCATAAATAAAAATGTTCCCTGGGTTTTATATCCAGGTTAACAGGTGGAAATGTTGTATGGGGGCAGCTTTTCTCTCTATTTTCTTCTTCTTCTTCTTCGTTTTGAAAACGGAATCTTTGCAAACACCCTTTGATAAACAAGTGTCATCCTTTCCTCCTTTGGTTCTCGAGCCCATCTGTAGGCATAGCAGTGGTTTTATTGTTTGTCTTTTTTCTTTTGTTTTGGAGAGAGAAAGGAAAAAGAAAGACAGGTTTTGCTGCCCACATCAATGACTAAAGAAAGAAAAAAAAGAGAGAGAGAGAAGGGCAGATGTTGGCTTCTGTTCCCAATAGTTTCTTCCATAACTTCCTCCCAGAGGAAGTATTTTGCACATTCTTCAAAGTTTCTGGAAGTCACTTCTCTTGCAGAATTTGCATCTTGGATCTTCGTCTCCCTGGCGAAGGAGGAACCTCTTATTAGGGATTTCTGGAAGCATAGATGAAAGCAGAATGGCAGGATTATTCTATGCGAGGCTACAGATTTGAGGAGGACAATTGCATCCTTGGCAGTGGTGGGATTCAAATAATTTAACAACCGGTTCTCTGCCCTAATGGTTTCTTCCAACAACCAGTTCACTAAACTGCTCAGAAAGTTAACAACCGGTTCTCCCGAAGTGGTGCGAACTGGCTGAATCCCACCCACTGATCCTTGGGCCAAAACGTTGGAGAAAGGAGCTTGCTTCAAGCCCATCTCCCTGTTTTGCCCATCGTGATTCTTCCAACCTAAAAAATATAGTTTTGAGTTTTATGAGTTCATTATTGCCCTTATCCTTCTGCTTAGAAAACCCATAATAATTTAAGAGTTCGACTTCACCAGGTTTATATCCTCCTCCTCCTCCTCCTCCTCCTCCTCCCTGCTAAGCCTACATCCTTCTAGAACTGATGATGTTACCTAGCTGGGTCATGAAATGTCTACAAGAAAACCACCAAGAAGCTCAGAGAGTACCAAGTACCCACAGTCGTCTTCTTCTTCTTCTTCTCTTCTTCTTCTTCTTCTTCTTCTTCTTCTTCTTCTTCTTCTTCTTCTTCTTCTTCTTCTTCTTCTTCTTCTTCTTTCTTCTTCTTCTTCTTCTCCTTCTCCTTCTCCTTCTCCTTCTCCTTCTCCTTCCTCCTCCTCCTCCTCCCTCCTCCTCCTCCTCCTCCTCCTCCTGTTTAAGGTTTAATTCTTTAAGGTAGTTAGCTATAATAAAATCTTAATCTTCTCCTCCCCCTCCTTCTTTTCCTCCTCCTTCTCATCTATCTATCTCCTCCTCCTCTTTTCTCTTTCTCCTTCTCATCTATCTCCTCCTTCCCCCCCCATATTTCTCCCCATTGCTCTACATCAGATGGAAGAAGGGGAAGGGGTTGGTGGATGGACGGACAGACAGACGGACTGATGGATAGATATAGCCTCCAGGAAAACATGTTGAAGGAAAGCTTAGAAATTGATTTTTTGCCCTCAATTCTCTCCAGCCAGAGACCTTGTATTTTATTTTGGCTTTAATTTATATGCCGCCCTTCTCCGGAGACTCAAGGCGGCTTACAATGCGTTAAGCAATAGCCTTCATCCTTTTGAATATATTTATACAAAGTCAGCTTATTGCCCCCACAATCTGGGTCCTCATTTCACCAACCTTTGAAAGGATGGAAGGCTGAGCCAACCTTGAGCCTGGTGAGATTTGAACTTGCAGTAATTGCAAGCGGCAGATGTTAATAACAGTGCTTAGTCCACTGTGCTACAGGCTCTTAACCCCATAAATTCTTCCTAAGCATGCTTGGTTTTTTTTTTTCCTTTCTTATTGTTCTACCCCCCCCCCCCCACCTTTCCATTCGGAGCAGTGTTCAAGGACGTTAAGAAAGGAGCACAGTGAAACTCAGATCATAACCTCCTATGCAGGGCTGGGATTCATATAATTAACCTACAGGTTCGCCCAGCACCGAAAATGTGAGAACGCCCACCCGCGAGATCGCTTCGCTCATCCGCATGACCTCCACGCATGCACACGGCCTTCCGCGGATGTGCTTTGCTCACACGCGTGGCTTCTACGCACGCACACGACTTGAAAACATGGCTAAATAGGACGGCAGAGCACCAGAGCAAGTGAGCAAGCCCACCAGCAGGTCGTTACTACCGGTTCGCTGAATACCACCTCTGCTCCTATGTTTATATCTTGTCTGAACGAACCCTCTCTCTTTGCGTGCTGCTGAAAGAGCCCTCGAGAAGGGAAGGAGGTCAAGAGCCTTGGTAGCACAGGGGTTTAAGGCACCCTGTTATTAAGCTGGTTATTAAGACCAGCTGCCTGCAATTACTGCAGGTTCGAATCTCGCCAAGGCTCAAGGTTGACTCAGCCTTCCATCCTTTCTAAGGTAGGTAAATTGAGGACCCAGTTTGTGGGGGCAATAAGCTGACTTTGTATAAATATATACAAAAGGATGAAGGCTATTGCTTAGCGCATTGTAAGCCGCCCTGAGTCTCCGGAGAAGGGCGGCATATAAATCAAATTAAAAAAAAAAAAAGTGTTCCCCAAACTCTTTCTTCCTCACGCTTACCTCTATAACTGTCTGGTTTGGCTCTGCAACCCGACAAGACAGACACAGTTTTCAGAGGATAATTAGAACTGCAGAAAAAAACATTTGCTACCAATCTGCCTTCCATGGAGGACCTGTATACTGCACCAGTCCAAAAGAGGGCTGGGAAAATATCTACAGACCCCTCGCATCCTGGACATAAACTGTTTCAACTCCTACCCTCAAAACGACGCTATAGAGCACTGCACACCAGAACAACTAGACACAAAGACAATTTCCCCCCCGAATACCATCACTCTGCTAAATAAATATTTCCCTCAACATTGTCAAACTAGTTACTAAGTCTGCATTACTATTAATCTTCTCATTGTTCCTATCACCCATCTCCTCCCAGATTTATATTGATTGTTTCCTAGTATGATTCAATTGCTTATTTGTACCCTGTGACTATCATTAAGTGTTGTACCTTATGATTCTTGACGAATGTATCTTTCCTTTTATGTACACTGAGAGCATATGCACCAAAGACAAATTCCTTGTGTGTCCAATCACACTTGGCCAATAAAGAATTCTATTCTATTCTACTCTACTCTACTCAATTCTACTCTATTTTTATTCTATTCTATTCTATTCTATTCTATTCTATTCTATTCTATTCTATTCTATTCTATTCTATTCTATTCTATTCTATTCTAATTCTACTGTACTGTAATTCTAATTCTAATTCTAATTCCCTTCCCTTCCCTTCCCTTCCCTTCTATTCTATTCTATTCTATTCTATTCTAATTCTACTCTATTTATATTCTATTCTATTCTAATTCTACTGTACTGTAATTCTAATTCTAATTCTAATTCTAATTCTAATTCTAATTCTAATTCAATTCCCTTCCCTTCCCTTCCCTTCCCTTCCCTTCCCTTCCCTTCTATTCTATTCTGATGGGGTGTCTTCTTTTCCAGATTTACCCTCTATGCTGTAGACACCCGTGGGAGGCACTCAGAACTGAGCACCATCACGCTGAGAACAGCTTGTCCACTGGTGGACGACACCAAAGCAGAAGGTAAAAAGATTGTTCCCGTGACTAAAGGCTCCTAACCATGTCTTAATTTTGCTTTAATTTCTCCCAGAGTTTCTCATGGATATTTCATGTTGGAATATTGCTGGGACGTAGTCTAGAGCGATTTTCCCCCATCCCCCCAAAACTGGACAATTTTAAGATGTGTGGACTTCAACTCCCAGGATTCTTAGCAATTGGGTGAATGAATAAAGTAGGGAGGAGGAGGAGGAGGAGGAGGAGGAGAAAGAAGAAGAAGAAGAAGAAGAAGAAGAAGAAGAAGAAGAAGAAGAAGAAGAAGAAGAAGAAGAAGAAGAAGAAGAAGAAGAAGAAGAAGAAGAAAAGAAGGAGAAGGAGAAGAAGAAGATCATCATGGCTTCAAAATCGAAGGAACTGATTTGGACAAAACTCAACAGCACTGTTTGGCGCGTCTGCTAATAAAAATAGGATCACCAATATGATCGCCGATGTCCGATGACAGATATGGCACAAGAAGAAGAAGAAGAAGAAAGTAGCAAATCCTTGACCACTTTATACATGAAAGAACTAGCTCTCTTTTGGTGCATTGGAATTTCTACTTTTCTTCTTTTCCTTTATTAGAAGGGAATGATTTTTTTTTTTAAAGAAAAATTGGACTCAGTTGAACAGAACAACAGAATAAGAGAGTTGGAAGGTCCAACCCCCTGTTTAAGCAGGAGACTCTATATATCATTTCAGACAAATGGCTGTCCGGTCTCTTCTTAAAAGCCTCCAGTGATGGAGCACTCCCAACTTCTGCAAATAAGTCATTCCACTGGTTAATTAATTGTTCCCACTGTCAGGAAATTTGTCCTTAATTCCAGGTTGCTTCTCTCCTTGATTTGGATTTGCACTTTGGAAAAAAAAATGCAGAGAAGAGCAACTAAGATGATTAAAGGCCTGGAGACTTAAACATATGAAGAATGCTTGCAGGATTTGGGTATGGCCAGTCTAGGGAAAAGCAGGACTGGGATGGATATGATAGCAGTATTCCAGTATTTGAGGGGCTGCCACAAAGAAAGAGGGGTGTGTGTGGGTCAATTGATTTTCCAAAGCACCAGAAGGCAGGACAAGAAACAATGGATGGAAACTAATCAAGGAGAGGAGAAACCTGGAATTAAAGAGAAACTTCCTAACAGTGAGGACAATTCACCAGTGGAACAGCTGGCCACCAGAAGTTTTGGGTGCTCCATCATTGGAGGTTTTTAAGAAGAGACTGGACAGCCATCTGTCTTAAATAGTATAGGGTCTCCTGCTTAAGCAGGGAGTTGGACTAGAAGACCTCCAAGGTCCCTTCCACCTCTGTTCTGATTCTGATTAGTTTCCACCCGTTGCTTCTCGTTCTGTCCTCAGGTGCCTTTGTTGGAGAACAGGAGAACCATAGAAAGAAAAATGTGATCAGGGTGGGATGTCCTGCTCCATAGTTCCTGCTCAGCTTTTTTTTTTTTTTAATTCTTCCTGCTTTGTTTTCCAGAGGTAGCAGATAAGATCTACAACTTGTACAATGGCTACACCAGTGGGAAGGAGCAACAAACAGCCTACAACACCCTCATGGAAATCTCTGCTTCCATGCTTTCCCGAGTCCAGCATCACTACAACTCCCACTACGAGAAATTTGGGGACTTTGTCTGGCGTAGCGAGGATGAGCTCGGGCCCAGGTATTTCTTTTCCCCTGCCTCTCGTACTCCTGCTCTCTTCCTTACCGTTATTTAGGACTAGCTAAGACACCACCAGAGTAAGTGAGCTTCTAACCTTTCCACCTCTCACAAAGGATCGGAAATTCAAACTACTTGGGAGGTTTAAGAGAAGCCTTCCCCTCTTGAGTTTATCTTTTTGTAGATGTTCCATTACCCAACTAAGAACATCGTCAATGCACTGATGACATTACCTAGTTGGGTAATGAAATGTCTGCAAGAAACTAACAAAGCTCAGAGTGCTAAGCACCCCACAGTCCTCCTCCTTCTCCTCTTCCTCCTCCTCTTCTCAGCCACTCCAGTAAAGCAGCAGTGAAATGCTACCGGTTCGCACCAGTTCTGGCGAACTGGTAATGATAAAAACTACCGGTTCGAGCGAATCGGTAGTAAAAAAAAAAAAAAAGCTACCAGTTTCTCTAATTTCTCCAGAGAAGGATACTGTAAAATCTCCATTTCCACCTCACTCCTGGGGGAAGGATACTGCAAAATCCACATTCCCTCTCCACTCCTGGGGGAAGGATACTGCAAAATCTCCATTCCCTCCCCACTCCTGGGAGAAAGATACTGCAAAATCTCCATTCCCTCCCCACTCCTGGGGGGAGGATATTGCAAAATCCCCATTCCCTCCCCACTCCTGGGGGAAGGAGACTGCAAAATCTTCATTCCCTCCCCACTCTCCAGGGGAAGGAGACTGCAAAATCCCCATTCCCTCCCCACTCCTGGGAGAAGGAGACTGCAAAATCTCCATTCCCTCCCCACTCTCCAGGGGAAGGATACTGCAAAATCCCCTTTTCCTCCCGATCAGCTGGGACTTGGGAGGCAGAGAATAGATGGGGGCGGGGCCAGCCAGAGGTGGTATTTGCCGGTTCTCCGAACTACTCAAAATTTCCGCTACCGGTTCTCCAGAACCTGTCAGAACCTGCTGGATTTTTCACCCCTGGTTTATCCATCCCCTTGTTCATTTCATCGCCAACGGGGAGCCCCAGAGCCTGGGCATCTAACTCTCCCTCCATCATCACATAATCTGGTTACCTCCCCATCGACAAGGTGGAACAGAGGTGGCCTCGTGTGGGAGGAAGCCGGTTATGAGTTGGAAGCAGAAGGCCGGCTGGGTAATTTATGACCTCCCTTCCCCGACCTGCCTTTTTTAGCAACTTCATTAACCGTCTGTCCTTTCCCCCACCCCCCACCCCAAATTTCCCATTTTCTGGGTAGGAGTAAGGTCAGGGTCAGGAATCCTGGCCAATTTCGTCTCCAGATTTGGACAAAGTCCGACCTCCTCCATAGGGAGGGATTGGAAGAGGGAGGACCTAGCCGATGATTTATGACATCCAAGTGGCTGCCCTTCAGATTTATCTTCTGACCTGCCCTGGGAGGTACCTCTCTCCCTTATTTCCCCCCCTCCCACTTCCTCTTCCCAGCCTTCCCTCTTCTTTGTTTCCCCCCCTTCCTCAGGGGAAGATGTCAGCCAAAGATAAGTCTACTCCTTAGACATGACTTCATTAACCTTTTCACACTAGTGACTCACTTCGGCAGCTTGGCCTAAATATCTCTCCATAATCTGGTTTTTTGGCCGAAAGGGGGAATTCGTCGTTAAGGAAAGCTTCAACGGGTTCCGTTTCCCTCCGCTCATACCTTCCCTCCAGATTTATTCTGACTCGTAAGATGCTAAATTTTGCTGCTGATTCTCCCAGCCAGCTGGCTGAGGCCTGGATCCCATGTGCCACACCCAAGGCTATCATCACAGGGATTCTAGAGTTTGGGGAGCGGGGGAAACAGACTGGTTCAAAAAGCTACGTTGGGTGAGATGGCTCATAATTCAAAAATGCATTCCGTTGTGTTGAAATCCGGTTGGAGAGAAGAATTCAAAGGCAACGGCTCTCAACTCATTTTAATTCTACTGTATTCCCCCCCCCGCCCCCGACAAGCAGAATAATAGAATAACGGAGAAGAATAGAAACTAATTTGGAGTTCTTTAGAGCCTCTCCAAAGAGAAACAGAGTCGAAATAACAGAATAACAGACTCGGAAGGGACCTTGGAGGTCTTCTAGTCCAACCCCCTGCTCAGACAGGAAATCCTATAACATTTCAGACAAGGGCTCTCCAGTCTCTTCTCTTCTTTTTTTTTATTGAAAAGTTTTACAGGAAAAAAAAATTTTTTCCCCAATATTCCCCCCACCCTTTTTCCCTCTCCCCCCACCACCCCCCACCCCTTCCCCGCATCCACCCCTCTCCCCCCCAGACTTCCCAGAGCAAAATACAGGGTATTTCAGTTAACAATCATAAACTAAATTAGCCTATCTATCCTTAGACTACAAAATCCCCTCCTGAAACTTTTAACTCCTCTCCAGTCTCCTCTTAACAGCCTTCAGTGATGAGTTATTCCATTGGTTAAATTGTTCTCACCGTCAGGAAATTTCTCCTTAGTTCTAGGTTGCTTCTCTCCTTGATAAGTTCCACCCATCGCTTCTTGTCCTGCCCTCAGGTGCTTTGGAGAATAGCTTGACTCTTTCTTCTTTGGGGCAGCCCCTGAATATTGGAAGGCTGCTATCCTGTCCCCCCTGGTCCTTCTTTTCTCTAGACAAGACGTACCCAATTCCTGCAACCGTTCTTCGTATGTTTTCGTCTCCAGGCCCTTAAACATCTTAATACCCTCCTTTGGTATGGGTAAAAGCAGTGGCTTTTGCTTATTTCTCTCCTAATGGGAAAATTAAAAAGAGCAAAATGTTTGTGGCTGTACGGTGGGAATGAAGAGGGATTCAGTGCAGCTGTTCCAAAGCCCCAGTAATTCTGGATGAGGTCCTCAGTGCTCTATAAGCGTGGTGGTTTCCTTGCAGATGTTTTATGCACTGATTTTACCTAGTTGGGTCATGAAATGTCTACAAGAAAATCACCAAGCTCAAAGAGCACCAAGGACCCCACAATCATCATCATCTTCTCCTTCTCCTTCTCTTCTTCTCCTCCTCCTCCTCCTCCTCCTCCTGCTTCCCTTTCCCCTTCCTCCTCTTGATTAGGTCGTGAAATGTCTGCAAGAAAACCACCAAGCTCAGAGACCACCAAGGACCCCACTGTCATCGTCTTCTTCTCCTTCTCCTTCTCCATCTCCTCCTCCTTCTCCTCCTCCTTCTCCTTCTCCTTCTCCTTCTCCTTCTCCTCCTCCTCCTCCTCCTCCTCCCCTTCCCCTTCCTCCTCTTGATTAGGTTATCTAGTTGGGTCGTGAAATGTCTGCAAGAAAACCACCAAGCTCAGAGGCCACCAAGGACCCCACTGTCATCATCATCATCATCTCCTTCTCCTTCTCCTTCTCCTTCTCCTTCTCCTTCTCCTTCTCCTTCTCCTTCTCCTTCTCCTTCTCCTCCTCCTCCTCCTTCTCCTTTTCTCCTCCTCCTCCTCCTTCTCCTTCTCCTTCCCCCTCTTGATTAGGTTATCTAGTTGGGTCATGAAACGTCTGCAAGAAAACCACCAAGCTCAGAGACCACCAAGGATGCCACAGTTCTCCTCCTCCTCCTCCTCCTCCTCCTCCTCCTCCTCCTCCTCCTCCTCCTCCCCCTCCTCCTCCTCCTCCTCCTCCTCCTCCTCCTCCTCCTCCTCCTCCTCTTCTCCACAAACTCCCCTCCCTTTGAGTTTGATCATTTTGCTACCATGGACTAAATCTGGTTCTCCCGCACCGTAACAGCGGCTTAAAAAAATGGCAGTTTCTCTTCCCATCCTCCTCTTCCTCTTTGCCTTCCTCGGAGCCTCAAAGCTGGTTTTTCTCTCTCTTTCCCACCCACCTTACTTTTTCCCTTCTAGAAAAGCGCATCTCATCTTACGACGGCTGGAGAAAGTCAGTAACCACTGTTCGAGTTTGCTACGCAGCGTCTACATCCAGAGCAGGACTGACACCATGCCTTACTTATTCTGTCGGAGCGAGGAGGACCGATCCCCTGGCATGGTTTGGTACAACGTTTTGAAGGACACCAAAATCACCTGCGAAGAGAAGATGATCTCTCTGCTGCGCAACATGTACGGCGACTCCAAGGGACGATGAAAAAAACAAAACAAAAAACCAACCTACCGGGCCGGCCAACTGAGGCACGACGGGGGCAGAGGCACTCACTCTCCTCCCCCACACCCCAGCTCAAGCGAGTCAAAGACATGTGGTACACCTATCATTTGACGGACGGGAGAATCAGCTGGAGAATCCACGGCCATCCTAGGGGCAAAGCCAGATCCCTCCCTCTCTCCCTCCCTTCCCTTTGCTTAGGGTTCTCTCTCTTTTTATTAAAAAATAATAATAACAATTATTATTTAAGAAGGAAGTCCATCGTTTCGCTCCATCCAAGAGGAGGGGGGAAAAAATAATAAATAAAGGCGACCTCCTTTTCTGTTTCTCCTAATTAAAATCTCCAAAATTGAGAGCCACAGATGGGGGAGAGACAGCTCAGCTGGTGGGATGGGGGCGGCGGGGGGGGGGGGGAGGACCCACAAGTGGTCGACTTGGGAGGGCGACAGTGACTGACTCACCTTAGATTTTTTTCCTCCGAGGGAACCGATGCTTGGGTAACGTGAGAATTTTAGGCCGGAAGTACAGAAGGACCTACGTTTTTGGAAAGGTGCTCGCATCCTTGAAGGCAGTTCACAGCGAACCGGAGAAAGAACTTTGCTAGTGGGCCATTACGAGAACGGTGGTACGTATCAAACATACACCAGGTGTCAAAAAATAAAATAAAATAAAATAAATAAAGGCTCCTTGGGGGATTGTCGCTATCAGTATCCTGACAGGTTGTTCTGTGCATTAAAACATTCATATTTACTTCCAACCTCCTGGCCTGCCTGTCGTGTGTGTGTATGTGTGTGTTTTTTTGGAGTCGTGTCAGAAAAATCTTTTCCCCTACCCCAAAATATATCTGCTTCCTTATCGCCTCTTGAACTTCGCTCGAGTTTCTTCTCCCACCCACCCCGCTTTCATAACAGGTTGACAAGAGTTGGAAGGGACCTTGTAGGTCATCTAGTCCAACCCCCCGCCCAAGCAGGAGACCCGAGACCATTTCTGACAAATGGTTATCCAGTCTCTTCTTGAAAGCCTCCAGGGATGAAGCTCCTACAACTTCCAAAGGCGACTTCTTTGGAACCATGGGATGATTGTTCTCCCTGTCAGAAAGTTCCTCATTTCTAGGTTTTATTTATTATTTATTTATTTTATTGAATTTCTATACCGCCCTTCTCCTGAAGGACTCAGGGCGGTGAACAGCCACGAGATTAAAACACATAAATACAAAGATTTGAAATGAATTAAGGTTGAATCTCCAACCAAATCTCCAAGGTTGAATCTCTCCTTAGTCAGTTTCCATCCATTATTCCTTGTCTGGCCTTCAGGTGCTTTGGAAAAGAGCTTGACCCCCTTCCTCCTCTCTTTGGAAGCCCCTCAAATATTGGCTTCCTCGTTGATGTTGCTTGTCAGAAGGTCGCAAAATGGGATCACGTAACAACGGGACACTGCAACCCTCATAAATATGAGCCAGTTTCCACAGTTGTTAAGGGAATCACTTAATAATTAAGTGGATTGGACTTCCCCGTTGACTTTGCTCGTGTGAGGGTTGCAGATGGTAATTACGTGACCCCGGGGACACTGCAACTGTCATAAGTACATGCCAGTTGCCAAGCATTTTAATCATGTGACCACAAGGACGCCGCGACAGTCATAAGCGTGAAAAACAGTCGTTAAGTCCCTGTTTTCAGTGCCGTTGTCACTTTGGATGGTCGCTATATGAATCAAATCAAAGGATTACCTGTTTTACACTTCGATCTCATGTCCGCTTAAATTCAACCGGTTCCTATATTTACAGATTAATACCTTTGTGGCTTTTTCACCCGTCAAAACAGATTTCAGATCAGTTTGGAACAGATATTGTGAGCCTGGGCACGCTTCTGAATAACTGGATCGAATTCTGTTGGTCCAGTGTGATATGGGTGCCCTAGAAAAAAAAATCAGATCTGTTTCCCAGATTGCTTGTCTGGGTTCCAGTTAAATTGGATTTTGCCCGATCCTTATAATGTTATCTGGCTGAATCGTTCTTCTGTATCTCCTTTAAGTCAGAGATAAAAGTTAAGAGTACTTGCAGGCAAAACAACATATGTACTGTAACACCGAGAGAAATTTGGAAACTCTAAAATTACCAGTAATTTTGAATGAATTAATCCAACTAATTTTGTTTTATTTTTGACTGATGAAGTTACTTTGGATGAGTAACAAAACATCTCCGATTAACCAACTTTGGTCCAGTTACCAAAACTTTAGCGCTTTGAGAAACTCTAAAATTAGACATGCTTCTATTTTTACTATTACTATTATTACTATTATTATTATTATTTATTGGTTAATCTTTAGTGAGATTCACAGCCTTTGAGGCTGGTTAATAGCTCAGCAGCTCAAGTCCTAACCAAGGACCTAGGAACTGTTAAGGTATCGTCGGAGGATGTAAGCTGTTCCGAGTAAGGTGGTTTTTTGCAGAGTCAAAATGTTCAAGTCCGGCAAATTTAGAATTTCTAAATAGCGGGGTAGCCCTTTGGGTATTGCTCCGAGGGCTCCAATTACAATCGGGACAGCACACGATTTCTTTTTCCACAGTCGCTCAACTTCAATTTGTAAGTCCTGGTACTTTGTGATTTTTTCTTGCTGCTTATCTTCAATTCGTGCATCACCAGGTATTGCAATGTCAATGAACCATACTTTTTTCTTTTCAACTATTGTTATGTCAGGTGTGTTGTGGATCAAGTGCCTGTCAGTCTGAATCCTAAAGTCCCACAAGATCTTGAGTTTCTCATTCTCTAAAACTTTCTCAACCTGATGTTCCCAGTGGTTTTCTTTTATTTATTATTATTATAAATTATTATAAAATTATTATTATTATTATTATTATTATTATTATTATTATTATTATTATTATTATTTATTGGTTAATCTTTAGTGAGATTCACAGCCTTTGAGGCTGGTTAATAGCTCAGCAGCTCGAGTCCTAACCAAGGACCTGGGAACTGTTAAGGTATCGTCGGAGGATGTAAGCTGTTCCGAGTAAGGTGGTTTTTTTGTAGAGTCAATTATTATTATTATTATTATTATTATTATTATTATTATTATTATTATTATATAACATGATAGTACAATTCAACGTTTTCGGTTTGGCTACGTGTAGTCATGCTATATAGTTATATAAGTAGTATCTAATAAATTACATAAATATTTTAAAATTAAGATATACGATACTTATCAACTATTACAATATGTTGATTGTATGATGCATGTTCTTTTTTTTATTGAAGTTTTATAAAAGATACATTTTCTTCCCCCCTCCCACCCCTCCACCCTCACCCCATCCCACCCCCCTTGCCCATCCACCCACCCTTTCCCCCTCCCCCTTCCCCCCCACCCCCTCCCTCGACTTCCCAGAACAAGCACAGGGTATAGCATTCACAAACATAAAACTAAAACATGCTAACAATTTGTTGACTTCAAATTCTCCCTAAGTCTTTAACTCCTTATAACTCAAACCACTGTAAACATAAAGATTAATAATATTTCATTCATAAGCTATATGAAACTTCTTAGTCTGATGCTTGTTTTGAATATAGTCGATCCATCTTCTCCATTCCGATATATATCTTTCGTTTGAATGGTCTTTAAGATACGATGAGATTTTCGCCATCTCTGCCAAATGCACGACTTTTAGTGTCCATTCCCCAATAGTAGGTGGATCTTCTTTCTTCGAATACTGTGCCACCAGTATTCTGCTGTTATTAAATTTAAGACCAGCTTAGTCTCTATCACAGTACAGTCTGTAACTATTCCCAACAAAAAAAAAAATGTGGTGTGAATTTGATCTTTTTCTTTAAAATATTTTGAATAATCCACCATATTTTTATCCAAAAAGCCTTAATTTTTTTTACATGTCCACCATATATGAAAATACGTAGCATCTTCGCACTCACATCGCCAACATTTAGGTTGTAAATTGGGATACATACAGGCTAGTTTTTTGGGATCTAAATGCCATCTGTAAAACATTTTATAAAAGTTCTCTCTTAAATTTTGGGCTTGTGTAAATCCTACATTTCTAACCCATATCTTTTCCCATGTTTCCATCATTAGTGGTTCTTCTGTATTTTGTGCCCATTTTATCATACAGTCCTTGACTAGCTCTGTTTCTGAATCTATTTCCACTAATACATTTATTTATTTATTTATTTATTTATTTATTTATTTATTTATTTATTTATTTATTTATTTATTTATTTAATTTGTATACCGCCCTACTCCCGAAGGACTCAGGGCGGTGAACAGCCAAGCAATAAGATACATAAATACAAAAATTTAAAAAACCAGTTAAAATCGAATTAAATCATTTTTTGGCCCAGACAAATTAAAACACCCCAATAATTTAAGAACAGATTTAAAATTATGTATTAAAAGAGGGAGGAGATTAGGCCAAGCCTGCTTGATGGAATAAAAGAGTCTTCACAGCGCGGCGGAAGGTGCGCAGATTATACAACCTTTTTATATTCATTTGACTTTTATATCTTTTTGTTTTATCAAGTTCTCATCCTGTTGCAAAATATCAGTTTTCTGATCTTCTCCCCATCTAGCTTGCAGCTGTCCATACTGAAACCAAGTTCTTATTATTCCTTTTTCTCTTAATTGTTCCATAGATTTTACTTGTAATCTAACTCCTTCTTTATAAAGGAGTTCCTTATATGTAATCTTATCTTGTTTTTGCTCCACATTTATATTCTCTATCGCATGTCTGGGTACTGTCCATATTGGTTAACATCGTTTAATTTGTATTGATACTTCTTCCAGACACGCAATAGAGCATTCCTTAATATATGACTTTTAAAAGTCTTATCTACTTTCTTATGATACAATAAATAAGCATGCCAGCCATAGACCTGACCATATCCTTCAATGTTTAATATCCTTTCCTCCGTTAAATTTATCCAATCATTAACTGCTGAGAGGGCAGCGGCTTCATAATACAATCTTAAATTGGGCATTTTAAGACCTCCTCTTTCTCGTGTATCTTGCATTATCTTTTGATTTACTCTCGGTTTCTTCCCTGCCCATACAAACTTATTTATGCCCTTCTGCCAGTCCTTCAAATTTTCATCTTTTTTAAGTATAGGTATCATTTGAAAAAAAAATAAATAAAAACCTTGGTAAGACATTCATTTTTACTGCCGCTATCCTTCCCAGCAAAGACAATTGTAATTTTTTCCACTTTTCCATCTCTTTCTATGTTTTTTGCCACAACGGTTCATAATTGTACTGATATAGTTTCATATTTGTGGTCATAATATAAACCCCTAAATATTTAACCTTCTTTATTATCTCAAATCCTGTTACCCTTTCTATCTCTTCTTTTTGGCTTCTAGTCATATTTTTAAGCTATTATCTTTGTTTTAGCTGTATTTATTTTAAAACCAGATACTTGTCCATATAGGTTAATTATATCCATCATGGCTGTAATCGATTGTGCTGGTTGGGCTAAGGTAACAACCAGGTCATCCGCAAATGCTCGTAACTTACACTCATGCTGTCTGATTTTAATTCCCTTTATTGTATCTGTCCCACGTATTTTACTCAGTAAAATTTCCAGCGTCAAAATAAACAACAATGGAGACAAGGGACAGCCTTGCCTTGTTCCTTTTTCTATATTAAAAATATCTGTTAAACCACCATTAATTATTATTTACGCTGTTTGTTTCTGATATATTGCCTTAATACATTGTATAAAATATTCTCCAAGTTGCATCCTTTCTGTTAATT